AAGGGGATGAGTATAGGCTGGTAGAGGTGAGAAGGGAATGAGTATAGGCTGGTAGAGATGAGAAGGGGATGAGTATAGGCTGGTAGAGATGAGAAGGGGATGAGTATAGGCTGGTAGAGGTGAGAAGGGGATGAGTATAGGCTGCTAGAGGTGAGAAGGGGATGAGTATAGGCTGGTAGAGGTGAGAAGGGATGAGTATAGGCTGGTAGAGGTGAGAAGGGGATGAGTATAGGCTGGTAGAGGTGAGAAGGGGATGAGTATAGGCTGGTAGAGGTGAGAAGGGGATGAGTATAGGCTGGTAGAGGTGAGAAGGGGATGAGTATAGGCTGCTAGAGGTGAGAAGGGGATGAGTATAGGCTGCTAGAGGTGAGAAGGGGATGAGTATAGGCTGGTAGAGGTGAGAAGGGGATGAGTATAGGCTGGTAGAGGTGTGAAGGGGATGAGTATAGGCTGGTAGAGGTGAGAAGGGGATGAGTATAGGCTGGTAGAGGTGAGAAGGGGATGAGTATAGGCTGGTAGAGGTGAGAAGGGGATGAGTATAGGCTGCTAGAGGTGAGAGGGGATGAGTATAGGCTGGTAGAGGTGAGAAGGGGATGAGTATAGGCTGGTAGAGGTGAGAAGGGATGAGTATAGGCTGGTAGAGGTGAGAAGGGGATGAGTGTAGGCTGGTAGAGGTGAGAAGGGGATGAGTATAGGCTGGTAGAGGTGAGAAGGGGATGAGTATAGGCTGGTAGAAGAGGTAGAGGTGAGAAGGGATGAGTATAGGCTGGTAGAGGTGAGAAGGGGATGAGTATAGGCTGGTAGAGGTGAGAAGGGGATGAGTATAGGCTGGTAGAGGTGAGAAGGAATGAGTATAGGCTGGTAGAGGTGAGAAGGGGATGAGTATAGGCTGGTAGAGGTGTGAAGGGGATGAGTATAGGCTGGTAGAGGTGAGAAGGGGATGAGTATAGGCTGGTAGAGGTGAGAAGGGATGAGTATATAGGCTGGTAGAGGTGAGAAAGGGATGAGTATAGGCTGCTGGTAGAGGTGAGAAGGGAATGTCTGTAGGCTGGTAGAGGGTGAGAAGGGGATGAGTATAGGCTGGTAGAGGTGAAGGAAGGAGACGAGAGTATAGGCTGGTAGAGGTGTGAAGGGAATGAGTATAGGCTGGTAGAGGTGAGAAGGGAGATGAGTATAGGCTGGTAGAGGTGAGAAGGGAATGAGTATAGGCTGGTAGAGGTGAGAAGGGAATGAGTATAGGCTGGTAGAGGTGAGAAGGGAATGAGTGTAGGCTGGTAGAGGTGAGAAGGGAATGAGTGTAGGCTGGTAGAGGTGAGAAGGGGATGAGTGTAGGCTGGTAGAGGTGAGAAGGGGATGAGTGTAGGCTGGTAGAGGTGAGAAGGGGATGAGTGTAGGCTGGTAGAGGTGTGAAGGGAATGAGTATAGGCTGGTAGAGGTGTGAAGGGAATGAGTGTAGGCTGGTAGAGGTGAGAAGGGAATGAGTGTAGGCTGGTAGAGGTGAGAAGGGGAATGAGTATAGGCTGGTAGAGGTGAGAAGGGAATGAGTATAGGCTGGTAGAGGTGAGAAGGGAATGAGTGTAGGCTGGTAGAGGTGAGAAGAGGATGAGTATAGGCTGGTAGAGGTGAGAAGGAGATGAGTATAGGCTGGTAGAGGTGAGAAGGGGATGAGTGTAGGCTGGTAGAGATTAGAAGGGGATGAGTATAGGCTGGTAGAGGTGTGAAGGGGATGAGTATTGGCTGGTAGAGATTAGAAGAAGAGGATGAGTATAGCTGGTAGAGATGAGAGAGGGATGAGCAAAGGCTGATAAATCTTAGATGGAAATAGAGTACTGACCACTCGTCCATTCTCAAGCTCATGTAATTCTCAGCTCCAGGAGCCGGTACTCAAGAGCCTGTACTCATCCCCATTCTCAGCTCCAGGAGCCTGTAGTCATCCCTCAGGAGCTGTCAGGCCAGAGCCGTACTCAATCCATACTTAGCCAGGAGCCTGTTGTCATCCCCTTCTCAGCTTCAAGAGCCTGTACCCATCCCTTTCTCAGCTCAAGTAGCCTGTACTCATCCCCCGTAGTCATCCACTGTCTCATCCCAACATATGGAAGTCCTTCCTTCTCTCCAGCTGAGACAGATTGGAAGAAGTCTGTTGTGCATATGAAACTGAAATATTTAATTTCTTAATTGCATATATTTCTCAGTAGTAATAGTTGCTTTTAAGGCACTCTTATGTCTTTTTAAAGAACCTTGCTTGTCCTACTTTTGTTCTCTATGTGTTCTAATAGATTACAGAGATGTGTAAGATAGCTCTTTTAGGGTGCCCTCAGTCTTGAGGCAATAACCCAGATGCTTTCTTCATGATGTGTTGGCTGCTGCTGCTGTATGTCTCTGACAGTGAAGTGATACCAGCTTGTTCATGCATCTCCACAGAGGAGCTGTCACAACAGCTTTGACAAGCTGTAAAAGCAAATTCATGTTTCATAATATCTGATTTCAATTTCTATCCAAACATTTTTTAAAGCCTTTGCTCAAGCCATACAATTTGTGAAAAATATAGTAATTTCAGTTTGGAGTTTGAAACCAGCGGATATCAAAACTTGTTTTGTATTGAATTATTAATTATTCAATAGGAAAAAGAAAGCCCTATGTCCTAGAATGTGCAGTCATTACATATTCTCTTCTGTAAAACTATCAGCCTTGGATATCTAACCCCCTCCACTCGGAAAACCTTCAGGGGATTTCGTAAGAAATGTATGTCATAAAGTAACAAGATATGCTTGAAAGATGCCTGTCTGCTCTTAAGCTGGATGAAATCAATTCCTTTGTGTGAGTGAGTTTTACATATTGTGTTTTTAACCCTGTCAACATTCTGTAAGTCCAGAGTTCCATGGATGGAGGGCATTACCATCACAGTGATGAGTCTGGTGCCATGGATCATAATGCTTTCAAATGTAGAATTCAAACCCATGACAATCAATTTTGTGTTATTTCTTTCAATTTGTACTTGAAGTCTAGCAGTACATGCCCTTGCTTGCTCATTTTACAGGTCTAGGTTTTATAGGAAATAGTCATTTACATATGTGACTTGCCTGACACAGATTGCCAGTGAGAGTTGGCCCCGAGTATATCAACTTATCCCCAAAAGACTGTTGGGTGGCCACACTGATTTGGGTGACTAGGTGCTGTGCTGCAGCGATCATTGCTCCTGTTTTCAGTCACAGGTTTGCTTGGTCCAAACCTGGTATACTAATGAAATTTGTCCCTCTCTTTTCCTTCTTTGGGTTGGTTGCCAATCTTTTCTTGCGCTACATCTGTAATCAAACGATGAAGTACTCACGTCTGCTTCTGAAACAATGGAAGCTGGGTAATGCGCTATGGTAACAAGTAGATACCTACTGTAACTGTCTACAGAAGTGTGATAGCTTGTGTAACAGCTGTGTCAGGTAGAGATGCTTCAACACAATGCTTATTGGCCAGACACTTTCCACAAATTGAAGATTAGGAAGTCTTCATGGAGAGAAAAACATCAAAATCTGGTTGATAATTTCTGGTGTGATCCTGTAACTGTCAATACAATTAGCGTTATCATTCATCAAGTGAAGCAAATCCCCAGTTGCTGTGTTCATTATCTTTTCTGAAGACAACAAACATCCTCGAAACATCTTTTTCAAACTGGTGATTTGCTTAAAATTTTGTTTCAATGAATATATTATTGATTTCTGTGTAAGAGGTGTGGTGCTTTGGTTGAGGAAGCTCTACATACAATCTGTGCGTTGAGAGATGCTGGGTCACTGACTTGAAGGGAAGTCTTGTATCTTCTTTCGGAAGTGGGGACAGCTATGGATGGCCAGTCATCTGAGGTGCTACAACATACAAGAAACTTTATAGTTGACATCTTTAGAAACTTTTCTTTAGAACACAATAAACTGATTTTAAAAAAAATGTCCAGCTACTGCAGAATGGTAATTAGTGGTAATTATCAACTTAATTATCTTCCCAAAACTGTAAAATGATGCAGAACTAGTTTGATTGAGTTCTCTCAAACCTCTGCATTATTGTTTGACTTACTGATCGTGTGGATTATATTCCTGTTTTACATGCATATTTAGTTGATTTGTATTCGATGCCTGCTCCCACTGATATTTGTCCCTGGTGGAAGGCGGAGTGTTACTCGCACAGTATCTGCTGCCTTTGTAATCTGTGTGGCAGTGGTAACAGGCAGCCACCATTTTAATGCATAATAATGAGTTGTGTAGCTGGCTGCTGGGGGTTTACCTCATTGTCTCGTAAAGGTGACATATCTCCCAGAATATTGATAGGAAAATCACATCATGATGGGAAGGTGTAAAAAATTACCTTGTAATGTAATGACAAGTTGTGTAATTATATCCTGTCACCACTCGGGTATTAATGCTTATCCATGGAATGGTTAAATAATTTTGAAATACATGCCCTGCATTTGTGATATTGAACAATGATGATTGTGTTGCCTTGATATGTTGACCTGTAAGCCTGAGATTTCTTGGATGCCTTAGTTATTTTAATTTGTTGTATGGATAGTAGTTTTCTAAGTGAGCAGTAATCATTTGAAAATGAGGTGATTATGTTCAACTGACCAAGGTGATTGTTACAGCTGTTGCAGAAGATTGTAATTAAATACCATACAGTTTGCGTCAGGAAGGGCTTGGTTTTAGACATAATGCCCATAATTGTCTGTCATAGTCGCAGATTGATGGTGATAGGATTGCTGGTATCGCAGCTTGATGACATGGGGTCTTTTACACCTATCAGTCTTTCTGTCTTGCAGTCATAGGGCAACTTGTCTTTTTGGCATCCACATAGAATGGCATGTGTTTCCGGCTTTGCACAATGAATATGGTATGAAGAGTTTGTCAAGAATAACATCATTGTGTTAGTGAGCATGGAATGAAGACATATGTTGTCCACATGATATGAGATACAGAGGAGTCTGCATCACATGGATGAGTACAGTTGCTCTGTTGTTGCAGGTCGATGACCAGAGGCGTACCTTCAGGCCAGGATGGGATGCTGCAACTCCAAGAAACTGCCAGATGAGGACATCGAGTTCCTCGTGTCCAACACCAACTTTGAGAAGGGTGAAATTCTCAAGTGGTACAAGGGCTTCATGGTAAGTTTTGAACAAAATTATGACAGGGCTACAAGTCTTGAACTCATTTATGACAGGACTACAAGGAAGACATCTTGACCTGACATCTCACAGATAAGCAGGACTACAAGTGCTCCTAAGATCAACATGGCAAGCAGGGGTACTGGGGACTTGTTCATTTTGACAGGACTACAAGTCTTGAACACATTATATGAACAGGACTAATAAGTCTTGAACAGTGCTGTGGCATGGACTACAAGTCTTGAACACATTCACATGGCAGGACTACAAGTCTTGAACACACTACAAGTCTGAGGAGGACTACAAGTCTTGAACACATTCATGGCAGGACTACAAGTCTTGAAACACAGGGCTTCTTAAGTCTTGAACAAATTTATGACAGGACTACAAGTCTTGAACTCATTCTGTGGTATTGCTGGAACATTGGTAAGCCCCTGCCAAACTCACTCACTCACTGGAACATTGGTAAAGCGGCCTAAAACCAAACTCACTCACTCACTCACTTGAACACATTCATGACAGGACTATACATCTTGAACACATGTTGGATCTTCAAAGATATTGGATAATGGTTTATGAACATCACTGTATCACTTTTCCAAATGATCAAAACCCTTGCTTAAGCATCAGTAGTTTCACCTTCAACAGACAATATTACACACCAGTGTGATATTGTAGTCTCTCCATTTGTCTATCCTTCTGCTATCCTTTTTTGTCTGAATCATATCTCGAAGACTATTGAGTATGTTATCTTCATGAAACTGTGCACACACAAAGAGATGGTTGGAAACTCCTTCCTTTTCCTATTTCGGGATTTTTAGAATTTATATTTTTTTTAAAGCAACAAGTTTAACTTTCTCACAAGACAGTAATGTTGTTTTTTTAGTAGTATATCTTCAAAACTACTGGTATTGTTCAGTATGTGCACACAATTACCAAATTGTAAGGTGGTGCTTTTAATTCTTGACAGAATTTCAGTTATTGTGTTCCAAATCACCATTCCATGATATAGTTATAACTCAATACATATGGTACTCGTGTATACAGTCAGACAGATTAGATAGGACAAACCTCATCAAGTTGGACTCTCTTGGAGAACATGCTGTAACAATCAGATAATTTGTTCTTTCTAATTTGTGGGGGCCAGGGGGATTTGACATTTTCTGATGATTCTTGTTTAATGCTCTGTGTAGGGAGTTGGGGCTGTTTCACTGAGATGGTTTTCATTACAGTAAAAGGTTTGAAGGTTGATGACTTTGCGAGTACCATAGCATCCGTTTACTTTGGTAGGATGTATTGAGAATGTCATGTTGACAGCTGATATATATCGAAAACAAATATATACTAAACATTGCGTAGGTAATTATCTGAAGCTACACTAATTCATACAGGTTGTGAGTCAGTCGTTTGACTTTGTAACCAAGTCCACTCTGCCAGTAATAGCTCCCGAAACACAAAGGAGTTCTTCATGAACACCTTAGTGAATAACTTGTCAGAATACAAGTGTTGATGAATCTTAAACTCTTCAGAGTCAGGTGGACTGTGTTAGTTCTAGTAATCTGTATTGATGTCTTATTAAGCTGACATCCTACTGGGACGGTAACCAGCTCAATCAGCTCCTCACTACCTATAACACTGAATGGCCCACAATGCTCTGTGGGTGTTATAGAATGCCTTAAACTAACAGCAAGGTTTCCACAAGCACAAGGTCCTCATGTCACTGCATGTGTCAATGGCTGACTGTTATTCTGGGGACGTCAATGTGTTTACAGAAGGTGTGTATAATGTATGAAGTGAAAAGGAAGTTGAGGAGAATACAAATGACAGTTGTCTGAGACTGAATTTGTCTCCTGGCAAGCATGAGATCACATGGAAAGTTATGGAGGTAAAAATAGTATTTTCTGTGTTAAAAAAGTCGGCCATTCATCTGAAAACAGGTCTTGTGAGGCTGTTCAGTATGACTAGTCCAATGTAAACATGCATTTTGTACATAATGCAGTTCATCACAGCAGAATGAATGACAATAACCCTGCTATATCATTGCTGTCCCTATTAAACTGTCCTTCAACTTCCCAAAACTATAAATAGAACTAACCTGTAAGAAAGTAACCTGTGAAAATCAGAATATCCAACACCTTCAACTCTCAGTGTGTAACCCATGTGTGTTGTGCCATATCCAACACCTTCAACCCTCAGTGTGTAACCCATGTGTGTTGTGCCATATCCAACACCTTCAACCCTCAGTGTGTAACCCATGTGTGTTGTGCCTATCCAACACCTTCAACCCTCAGTGTGTAACCCATGTGTGTTGTGCCATATCCAACACCTTCAACCCTCAGTGTGTAACCCATGTGTGTTGTGCCATATCCAACACCTTCAACCCTCAGTGTGTAACCCATGTGTGTTGTGCCATATCCAACACCTTCAACCCTCAGTGTGTAACCCATGTGTGTTGTGCCATATCCAACACCTTCAACCCTCAAGACCTTCAACCCTCAGTGTGTAACCCATGTGTGTTGTGCCATATCCAACACCTTCAACCTCCCTCAGTGTGTAACCCATGTGTGTTGTGCCATATCAACACCTTCAACTCTCAGTGTGTAACCCATGTGTGTTGTGCCATATCCAACACCTTCAACCCTCAGTGTGTAACCCATGTGTGTTGTGCCATATCCAACACCTTCAACCCTCAGTGTGTAACCCATGTGTGTTGTGCCATATCCAACACCTTCAACTCTCAGTGTGTAACCCATGTGTGTTGTGCCATATCCAACACCTTCAACCCTCAGTGTGTAACCCATGTGTGTTGTGCCATATCCAACACCTTCAACCCTCAAGACCTTCAAACCTCAGTGTGAAAACCCATGTGTGTTGTGCCATATCCAACACCTTCAACCCTCAGTGTGTAACCCATGTGTGTGCCATATCCAACACCTTCACTCCTGTGTAACCCATGTGTGTTGTGCCATATCCAACACCTTCAACCCTCAGTAACCCATGTGTGTTGTGCCATATCCAACACCTTCAACCCTCAGTGTGTAACCCATGTGTGTTGTGCCATATCCAACACCTTCAACCCTCAGTGTGTTGTGCCATATCCAACACCTTCAACCCTCTCAGTGTGTAACCCATGTGTGTTGTGCCATATCCAACACCTTCAACCCTCAGTGTGTTGTGCCATATCCAACACCTTCAACCCTCAGTGTGTAACCCATGTGTGTTGTGCCATATCCAACACCTTCAACCCTCAGTGTGTAACCCATGTGTGTTGTGCCATATCCAACACCTTCAACCCTCAGTGTGTAACCCATGTGTGTTGTGCCATATCCAACACCTTCAACCCTCAGTGTGTAAGTGTGTATGTGCCATATCAACAACACCTTCAACTCTCAGTGTGTAACCCATGTGTGTTGTGCCATATCCAACACCTTCAACCCTCAGTGTGTAACCCATGTGTGTTATGCCATATCCAACACCTTCAACCCTCAAACCCACCTTCAACCCTCAGTGTGTAACCCATGTGTGTTGTGCCATATCCAACACCTTCAACCCCCTCTGTGTAACCCATGTGTTGTGCCATATCCAACACCTTCAACCCTCAGTGTGTAACCCATGTGTGTTGTGCCATATCCAACACCTTCAACCCTCAGTGTGTAACCCATGTGTGTTATGCCATATCCAACACCTTCAACCCTCAGTGTGTAACCCATGTGTGTTGTGCCATATCCAACACCTTCAACCCTCAGTGTGTAACCCATGTGTGTTGTGCCATATCCAACACCTTCAACCCTCAGTGTGTAACCCATGTGTGTTGTGCCATATCCAACACCTTCAACCCTCAGTAAGTGTAACCCATGTGTGTTGTGCCATATCCAACACCTTCAACCCTCAGTGTTTTGTGCCATATCCAACACCTTCAACCCTCAGTGTGAAAACCCATGTGTTTTGTGCCATATCCAACACCTTCAACCCTCAGTGTGTTGTGCCATATCCTTCAACCCTCAGTTTGTTGTGCCATATCCAACACCTTCAACCCTCAGTGTGTAACCCATGTGTGTTGTGCCATATCCAACACCTTCAACTCTCAGTGTGTAACCCATGTGTGTTGTGCCATATCCAACACCTTCAACCCTCAGTAACCCATGTGTGTTATGCCATATCCAACACCTTCAACCCTCAGTGTGATGTGCCATATCCTACACCTTCAACCCTCAGTGTGTTGTGCCATATCCAACACCTTCAACCCTCAGTGTGTAACCCATGTGTGTTGTGCCATATCCAACACCTTCAACACTCAGTGTGTAACCCATGTGTGTTATGCCATATCCAACACCTTCAACCCTCAAGTGTGATGTGTGTGTAACCCACCTTGTGTGTTGTGCCATATCCAACACCTTCAACCCTCAGTGTGTAACCCAGTGTGCCATATCCAACACCTTCAACCATGTGTGTAACCCATGTGTGATCCAACACCTTCCATCAACACCTTCAACCCTGTGTGTAATGTTGTTGTGCCATATCCAACACCTTCAACCCAGTGTGTAACCCATGTGTGTTGTAACCCAATGTAACCCATGTGTGTTATGCCATATCCAACACCTTCAACTCTCAGTGTGTAACCCATGTGTGTTATGCCATATCCAACACCTTCAACCCTCAACACCTTCAACCCTCAGTGTGTAACCCATGTGTGTTGTGCCATATCCAACACCTTCAACACCTCAGTGTGTAACCCATGTGTGTTATGCCATATCCCACCTTCATCCAACACCATATCCAACACCTTCAACTCTCAGTGTGTTACCCAATGCGTTTTGTGCCTTATCCAACACCTACAACCCTCAGTGTGTAAAGTAAGTCTGATGACTTCGTGGGTGTGGTATTTGCAAGGTGATATCAGAGCACTAAGGTGACCAGGGTGTGGAACAGTAATGCATACCTGATAAGACTGTTGGTCCATCTTAGCATCACTATTGATGTTACACTACCCCAAAGTTCAA